AACACAGCTGCCAACACGGCTGTTTGTAAGGCGGCATGTATCGTTCTCACCCAAAATGCCTTCTGAAAGCATGTTCTCATGAAATAAATGAAACACAAGGATGCAACCGCAGAGGGATTTTCCAAAACCCAATCGCACAGAGTAATGGTAAATTGGAGGAGTAGTATTTCTGGAATTTGATAGATGTTGATAAATCAGCCATGTCTTTGTTGAGTTCATGGAAGCTCTCCCAGATGTGGGTAAACCACAAAAACGTCAGTTTTAGGACATCAACAACCTTACATGACTTTAAAACTCAACCACACTGAATCCTCTTCTAGCACTACAATATACCCTTTTACACTTTGATGAATTCTGCCATTATCTTTTCTAAGGGTTGTTGTGCTTTTGATCCTCTAAAATAAAACAAATGTGAGGAACAGATTTTCTTCAGAAAGGAATGTACTATTTACTATTACAAGACTGTTTCTGCCAGCAAGGGAATGCCAGATAAAAGCAGCTTATCTGGCACATTTTGCATTGAGCCAAAGGATCAGAACACAGCTGGTTGGGAGTTTCAAAGAAATTATATTATGTACTCACCATTTTCTCCTCTGTGTCTCTGGAGGTTTGCAGCTGCATTGCCCCTCCTGTGTTTGAGCTGCTCTCTGAAGCAATGGTTTGGGTCTCAGCGTGTGTGAGACTGAAAGTGTGTGGTGCACTGTCCTCACTCATTCAGCTGCTAGTACTGTGTCAATGCCCGGTACAGAATGACTCTTAGGCTTAATCCTTAGTGATGAATTACAAGCTGTAACTTTTTGTTTTTACTCTCTTGAAAACATCTGCCTTTCTTCAAGGTGCAACATAAGAAACCCCTCTTTTCTCTTTAACAAATGTTCTATCAAGTGCATGGATCTGCTGTTAAGCTCCCTCCACCCAACTACTTCGCTCAGACTCTGCACTGTATTTGCCTCTCTCTGCCTCCTAGATTTCTCCTCCCCTTCTCTCTCTGCATCTTCGACTTGCTCTCCTTCCCTTTATGTAATTTTCATTCAACCAAATGGTGCTGGATTAAGTTTCTAACTATCCCTCAGCCTATATTTCCCACATTCACTTCAGGCTGACATCATAGTCATGTTTTTTTTTTTCCCTAGTCCCTTGATTCTGACTGTTATACAATGAATTAAGCTCATGTTACTTGTCACATAAGACATGTTCATGGATCACCTATTTCATGGGTTTTTATTGTTTCTTGTTATCATTGATCTTATTTTGACAACAACAATATTACTTGTCATTAAACAAAATTTAAAGATGAGATCTCATTAAAAGGATGGCATCTATTGAAGGCACTTCAACATTTTGTAGTACTCGAATAGATTATTATTTCTGGGTGTTTCATATCTAATCATAGACAGCTGTCTTTGTTTTTTTGGTTGTTTTTTTATTTTTAACTGATCATTAGAGGAAAATAGTTCTCATTGCATACATTTAGTATGGTAATTAGTCAAAGTGTTGCTTTATTTTTAGTAAAATATGATCATCTGTGACTGCGTTTTCAAGACCTTAGATAATAAAAATCTATTGACTCCATGAAATGTTATGAAATGTTTATGTAAAGTCTTTTTGAATCTATGTATGTGATTGTTGAATCACTAAAGTGTACAGAAAATTTCATTTGAGTTGCTCTTCAACCTCCTTACATCTAATATGCTCAGATAAATAGGATTTTTTTGAGCTGTGATACAAGGACTCACTGTGTTAGGAAAATTATTGGATTTTGAGTGGTTTTTTTTCCAACAAATAGTGATAAAAGCTGTGTTGTTGGAATTTCAGCTCTGTTTTGTTAATGAGTCTTGTTTTACTTTGCCAGTCTGACTTCTTTTATTTGTTGCACTCTGTTACTGTTACACCAGTTTTTTACTATTTTCGTCTGTTATGGTCCAAAATCCGCTTAAGGGCTGGTCATGCCCTTATTTCCTTTTGCTTTCGGTCCAGTACCGGATGCAAAAACTTAAATTCATCGTATTTTTTCTTATACCTCTACAATTTTTTTCCCAGTTTTTTTGTGTATATTATACATGTTTAGTCAAATTAATGTTAATGAGGTTTTAATGTTAAATTAATATCTCTGTCTAGCTTCTGCTTGCTTTTTATTTGTCACAGACATAAGTTGACCTTTAGGATGATGGAGAGAATAAGCCCTAATTTTTATTATTTTTAAAGCGTCTCACACCACAATTCATATTTAAACATATCTTTCAAAACTCATTATTTTGTTTAAAAAACAACAAAACAGGAAAAAGTTGTTTTATAACCCAAATATTCTAATCTTGACTATAAGTTGATTAATAACATTTAAAGTCCCATATTCTTGTAATTTTGTCAAAGTTGTAAAAAAAAATTCTCTCTGCTTTTGCATCAGTAAAGGCTGTTCAGCCCTAAAGTGCATGAACACATGTCTACATCAAAAACCTGAAGCAGAAATAGAAATCAGCCTCATCTCTGCCTACAGGCACATTGGAAGAGACAAGCAGCTACAGGGCAAATCCCATTAGAAGACAATTAAAGCTGTATTTGGCTTTAGGAGATGCCATTTCTCTGCTCTGCTATGGGGCTAATAACTGTCATTGTGGAGTGCAGTCTCATTATATCTGTACAAATCTGAGCCCAGATCAAGTATAAAAAAAGGACTGACAGAAGTACCAGCTGTCAGATGAACAGTGACAATTTGCACAGCTGAACTGCAGCCTATTTATTAAAACAATATGTTTGCGATTAAATGTATGTAAACCTTAATGTGTTGCTGTAGAGAGGCATGAAGAAATATACATAGAAAGCCTACAGACTACCCTTGCTAATTGTTTTCTTCTTGCAAAACTAAATAAAATGAAAAATCTAATAAACTGCAGAGGGCCACTACTTTCTCCACAACCAAAAAAATAGCTGTCTTTAGCAGCTACAAAAGAAGCTACTTTTTTGTGTGTGATTACACAGCACACTGCAAATTCGATACTATGCAAGATCTACATAAGAAAAAGGAATTCTGTTCTATTAACCAACCAAACCAAACAACATTTATTCAACATAAGCTGCAATTTTAGGAATAATGTGCAAGTCACTCATCCCTCTTCTGTATTTTTGTGCTATTATGTCCTTTGTGTGTCTGCAAGTCTGTCAGTCTAAGGTCAGAGTGTCCTTCAATCTTTTCCTATAGCGCCCTCTCCTGGTAAAAGACCTAAAAAAACATCTCACTTAACTGGAGCTCTCAACTGTCAACTACAACCGCTATTAACATCTGTCAAATCCCTGTAGACCTTCAAATCTACATAACTCTCTGAAGACGAGGATGGGGAGCAGGGATATAACAAAAAAGCCAATGAAAGGGAGAAATCTGGTGGGAGTTCTGAAGAGGAAGTGAGAGTAAAGCAGGAAGAGATTATAAATCTCTGTTAAAAGAAGCAAGAGAAAAGTGATTGTCTATAAATCCACATATGCTGCTGCATAGAATGGCAAATGACTTGTTAGTTTGGCCGTCAACATTCCTTTCTTTTTATTGTCCTCTGAGAAACATTAATAGCTTTTTATTATTAAAGCATGTTGAATATTATATAGCATGTATCCCTGGACCGAGATGAATTATTAAAATGCATGTGTATATTAGGTAAAGGGCATTGCTATGTTTTCCCTTTACAGTCTGCAGCTAAATATCCCAGATGACATATGGGGACATGGCCCAGGAATGATTTTACACATTGCTGACAAGAAAGCTGTTGACATTGTTCATTGGAGCCTAAAGGAGCAGCAGACACTACACATTATGCTGAGCTGGCGAGATGCTGAATGTCTCCACAGTCTTCTCAGAAAGCTGATAGTTAGAGACCAGAAGAGACAGAAGGAAGATCATCTGCTCACTAAGAACAAACAACTTCAAACAAACTGCTGGGTTTGAAGTCTGCAGCTTTAAGGATGGCCTTGAAACTCCTCTTTAATTTTTGCCCTTTGATAGTATTTGCATATGAAACAGTTGTATGTTGAAATTGCTGTACATTGCTAATCTACTATACAAGGCTGTAGGCTCTTGATGCACTTTCACAAGTGGCAATAAAATGTAACTATTGCAAGGCATATTTCTGAAGCATACAGTATACATGCATCTGAAGGTGCAGTGTAGACAGTCTGTCTTTGTAATCGTATCGATAGCTTTTTTGGCCTACTTATTAAATTCCCACTTTGGGTAACCATATTGTTTGAATGATTTCCTGAGGGAATATTACACAAGCATACTCATCATGATTCAAACACATACACAACAAAATTTGTCAACAACCCAGGAGAAGGTTGGGTTGATTCTTGATTTGTATTTAAATTGGAATATGCCGAGAGGGCTGGACCTTAAAGCTCAATCAGCACTCCTACTACAGATTGCTCTAGTGCTAGATGACAAAATTGACAGGTGTTGGGATATGAGTTGAAACGCCTTCTGAAAAGCCCTCTTGCCTCTGTTTTAAGGCAAGGCAAATTTATTTGTATAGCACAATTCAGTACAAAGACAATGCAAAGAGCTTTACATGATTAAAATATAGGAAAACAAAACAGAACAAGTAGAAAAAAATAAAATAAAAAATGCAGAAACAAAAAAGAATATTAAAAACAGTTGGACTAAAGAAAATAAAAAAGTTGAACTAATGATGTTTCAGTTGAACTGTTTAACTAGAACAGTCCAAGGCAATCCTAAACAATTGTGGTTTTAGTCTTGATTTAAAGGAACTCAGGCTTTCCGCACTTTTACAGTTTTCTGGAAGTTTGTTCCAGATAAGTGGAGCATAGGAACTAAATGCTGCTTCTCCATGTTTAGTTCTGGTTCTAGGTATGCAGAGCAGACTGGAGCCGGAAGACCTGAGTGGTCTGGAGGGTTGATACACTGATAGCAAGTCTGTTTTGTGGTTGTCATGATCAAGATGACTGAGATTTTACACAGGACTTTTTAAAGACTGGAGCATGTTGTGTTTGTTTCTAACCGTGCTGAAGTTGTGGAAGAGACTCATGCTGTGCGGAGGAGGTGGGCTTTCCATTGGAAACTGTAGGAAGGGCTTCATGTCCAGATGTGGCTGGATGACTGTGGGGGTGCGCAGGAATGTTGGTACTGCTGCCCCAGCCCGATTAATGCCTCCTGATATCAAAAAGACAAACACACAAAAAGGCATAGTTATATGTTTATGATTTTATTCATTGAGAATCACACATTTAAAAAGCCACTTCATGCTTCTAATATTTTTTGTGAAATAATGTAACATGCATGAAGATTAAGGTGAGGTAAAACAGAGCCTCTAGGTTATGCTGAGCTCTCTTCTCTATGAAATGCGCCACATTAAGCCATATTTCATGGGTTTATACATACAATTGAAGAGAGGGCTAGGCAATAAAACAATAACAATATATCAAGATAGACATGTGATCAATATCAATAAAAATGCATCGGATAGAATGACGTATAATTTCACCAAACTCTTATCCAGAACCACACTGCATCTGGGAGGTGAATGCAGAGGAAATGATTTAGCCTCTCAACCTCTCTGCCAAGCTATGTGAACTAGTGTGATGGTAGGGCTTATTTTTAAAGGTTATGTTAAAATGGAATTAGAGTCATTTTTCAATCAAGTGAAAACAAAAGCAACAAACCAACAATTATTGACATCAACTGTTATGAAAGGTATGATGGTATGATACTTTTTTCAGTCATGTTGCACAGCACTAACTGAAACCAGATATTTAATAAATCGTTTATAAACTGCATAAAAAAAAAATGTTGGTGTTCTTTATTTCACAAACGTTCCCCTTTTTCTCTTACATTAATAATGGACATTTTGGTCCAATACTTTGTATCTATTGTCACCAAAACACAGATTTATCTTAAAATAGAGTTTGTAGAAGCTGATACCAGTTTGTACTAACTGTATGTAGCCTTTTGTGGTATTTGCAGCAAGGTCTTCTTGCTTACATGAATGGCTTTTCAATACGTGGCAGTGAAGGATGTGTTCAATGTGGAGTGGACCCTCTTCAGCAGCTTTTGTCACCTTCTTGAACGGTAGTTCTGCTCGTATTATTGGGTTGATACAGATATTTATACCAATAACTCTTTTAAACTTCCAAACTTGTAAAGCTTAATGTTGTAGCTGCGGCAAAGGTTCCGTTTTATTCTTTTGAGTTTTCAATTTTTTACTTTAATGAAGGAAAAATAAAAGAATATAAAAACTGTGTTCAAAAATCCCAACCTAAAGGTAAAGGTCTGCTTTCTTTGTAAGAAAGTATTAGTTACTGTGCTAAATGCAAGTATAGGATGTTAAAGACAGTTTAAATGCCATCTCCAAATTGTTTTGTGCATGTTTCTTGCTTCAAATGAACAGTAATATACGTTGTGATTGTTGCTTGTCTCATCCAATGCAAAGATCTTTGCGATTTGGTGCATTTTATTATGCATCACTACAGAGACGCAGTGTGAATTCCTGCTATCCATTGCCCTTCTGTGCTACTATCAACAAATTCAGTGGGATGATTTCATATTCTTAATGGATTTTAATCTCGACAAAAACTACTTCATGATGCTGACTTCCGTGGTGTGGTTGTGTCTGGTTACAGTATAGTGGCTCGGATGTCGGCATCCATGCTAGACACAGACTACTTGCAATTGAGGCTAAAAGCTGTAACCATAACCAGAGTCTAGTTACACAGAGAGAAACGTGACAAATGTTGAACTAAGCTGATTTCTAATTCTCCTGTTGAAATACATATTCATCTCTCTTAATATTTTTTCCCATCAGTGTTCCCATTTGCCTTCTTTTCTTCCTTATCCCCCTCTCCTCTTCTCTAACCTCTGTCAAGGATGATAGTGATGGGGCCCACATAGCAAAACTCAGCCTCAGCAAGCTCTTAGATTAAGCCTCTTAATATCCACGACTGGATTTCTATGGCTTTTAAATTCCTCTGAGACTTAAAGCTTTGCTGCTCTTCTTTTTGGGATCGCTATAAGCTACTGATCTACTTCCTCTCCCCTACAGGCATTTCTAACTTCAATGCCTAAACATGTAAAATAAGTGAGCCTTAATTTACATCTTTGTTTTTGTCAAATGTTAACCATAATTAATAAGAGTGCATCACAAGACTACTACATAGAGAAATACAATGTTATTGGATGGAGACTCAAAATGTTAAGATCTGAAATCACGGGTTAGATGAGAATTGGTAGAGAGATTAATGTTGCATCAAGGTCAAAATGTAGCCTGAGCAGAAGTTTGCTGCCTTCTGCTGCACATCTGTAGGCCTAAAGGTGTGGTGGACTGCGTCATTACCTCTGGTTATGCATGAAAGAGTCCTTCACAGAGCAAGCCATCAGTCTTCACTAGCAAACACATGCACTAGCAGATCAAAACCATGATCCTGAATGTCATTAACAAGTCAACATCTGCCACTGACTCATTTTTAAATGTTTTTATATAGATAGCAAGGTCCTCCAAAATATCTATTTGGCAAAGTCCCTTTTTTAGTTTTGTAAAAATCAAAACATTAGCTTAGGGGCACAATTTTGCTCAGTTATTAAATATCTTTCTGTCTAAAACGCCATAATGATAATATAGAAAAATAAATCCTTCAGTTGATTAGGCCTTCACAGTTCTTTCACTGCTCAGACCTATTATGTTGCTAGAATACATCAATCTTGACACATGGCCTGCATTTGGCTCTTGGCACAAGCTGGTAGCATTGGTCTGTGGTTTACTTGAAACCACTTTGTTTGCTGAATTTTCACAGCAGTGATGTTACCACACACCCCTCACTCTACCCCTGTGCACAGGGGCTGCAGCTGGCAGTGGGTCCAGCAGTGTCTGGCAGGCAGACAGAGAGACGGGCTGACTAGAGGACAGGATGTGTCGCTACAGCAGTGGCCAGAGGAAGGAGGATCCACTGAGGCTGCGGGACCAGACGTAAGAGAGACGAGCAGACATTCTTCAGGCAAAGACAGAGTGTGTCCCATTAGGGACAAGTGTACTTTGTGGAAGTGTGTGTTTGAGTGTGGGTGTTTGTCAGAAAGCTAAATCTCACTTGGGCTACAGTTTATAATTATCACATTAATTCAATCTGTCTTTAGGGATCTTCTTATGCAGTAAATCAAACAAATAACTTTATAGAAGATGAGATAGAGTGTGCGGGCAACTGTAGCGTTTTTCCATGTTGTTTAAGCTGTACACACAGTGTATTTGAACTCAGATGAAAAAGGGCAAAATGGACCGATTCCTCAGTTTTGAAACTGAGGAAAACACCTCATCAGTAAACACCTTCTAGCGGAGTATTTTGTTTCCTCTTTTTGCACGGTCTGTTTGTGGCACTGTGACAAAAAAGCTTTTTGGAGTCTTAAGGAGGCTTATGATGATAGAAAAAGATTTCAGCTGAAGCTGCTACAAGCTGTAGTGGCTTTTTTAGTGTTGACTTTAATGTACCCATCTGTTCTATTATGCAACAACAGTATACACAATTCCCTCTTTTTAATTGAACTTAAACCCCCAAATAATATCCTGTCTCAAATATGATCATTTTTTTTTTCTTTTTCTGTTTACCCTTGTTTGTTTAGCACCTTTACACAGACTAACTTAAATTGGATTTCCCTTCATTGTTTGACACTTTAGGTTTAGGAGATTTTTTAAATTAAAAAAATGTCCTCAGATTATAAAAGATGTTGGTGTTTATATTCCACACAAAAAACTTTCATTTTAGCCACCAGCCACCCTGCAACCTTGCAAGGAAAAGCAAGTATAGACGCAATGGCTGCATGTTTCAGTGCAGGGCAGCTGGTGGGAAATCAGAGAGCAGAAAGGAGAAACATTACATCATAAAAGCAGCAGACTTTTTTTATCATCTTGTCTGAAATACCTTGTTTGTCTAGTCTCTTTAAAACATTGTTATTGACCACTTGATTTTTGCATCTAGGAAAACACGTAAAAACACACATCCTCATAAATTTACCAGATGTTTCAATGAGGAACAGCTTTTTCCCTTGATTTGTTTCAGCATAAATATCTGCATGTCTTAATTTGAGGAAGGCACAGGCTTTTAGGTCCGTCACAAGCGTTAGATTGTCACAGCTCCTCTCTTTAAAATTTAGGACAAAATTTTAAACACCAAACAGTGATCTGCCTGGAAAAGCCAGACCACTTATGAGTAAAGCCATAACTGTTATGGTTCTTATTTGTTGTGACTCTGAGTTTTCAGTTTTCTGTTATCAGTTGTTTTGTTTTTATTTTCTATGATCTTCAAGCATTCTTTAGTTACTCTCTGTTGCCCCCTTGTGATTGTTTTCTTTCCCCTTGGATTCCCTATTGCCAGTTCCAACCACACCTGCTCCCCATTCAGCTCGTTAGTCCATCCTTTTGTTTGGTTGTCCTTAAATACTCCACGTCTGCAGTCACTCAGTGCTGGTTCCTTCTTGTTGCTGTATTGTCTACTCTGCTCGTCTCTCCCCGGCTCCTCAGACTCGTTTTTCCCCTGATGTCTCCATGATTTTGGTTTGTTTTATATTTGAAGTTGGATTTCTGGATTTCTGCCTCTGCTGCTGTTTGGTCTGCAATTAAACCTCTCTAGAACTCATCCCTGCTTCACTTGTCTCTGCATCTGGGTCCTCAAGCAACTTCACCATCCAATGTTGACAATAACACAAAAAGGGTTATGGAGATTTAAAATGTAGGCTCTAAATAAAAACAATTGCAAAACCAAATTTTGAAACAGAAGATTAGGATTTTGATCCTGTCCTCTGTTTTTGTTTTGGTTCTCTGTTGCTCTTTGTCTGACTTGGCTTTAAAAGCTTAGATTATTCCCTTCAAAATGCATATTTACACACATATTCAAGATATCAAAATAGGAAAATATATCATCATAAACTGCATATTATAACAGTTTCAGGAGCAAAGTCTGTGAAATTAAATAAAGCGTTGGCTCTATCCATGTCATGACATGAATCCCCTCTGCAAACATCTTTTCAGAGTAGAGATACAGTACATACAAAAATTTCACAGACTAGATAGCTACTGGCATTATAAACTGGTATAAAGAACATAGTACTTATAAAACCTTTTTGACAAACTAAATAAAATTAAGCTTAAGGACGGTTTTATAATTAATTCTCCA